ATATATATATATATATATATATATATATATATATATATATATATATATATATATACACACACACACACATATAGCTGAATCACTTTGCTGTAAAGCAGAAATTAACAGTGTAAATCAACTATACTTAAAAGTGTTTAGAAAGACAGCCGCCAGAGGCTTTGCTGGTCTGCCCCGAGGCCAGGTTCCCCACACCCCTGATGCAGGAGGCTGCTGGGATAGTTGTTTGCAAACCCCCCCTCACACAGTCAGAATCTGTGTGGCCCAGCACAGGAAGAGGGGGGCCTGAGGAGGGACCCCCGCCCTTTGGGGGCTGCTGCCTTCAGACCCTGCTGAGCCCGAGCTGGTTGTGTTACCTGTTAATGCAGGGAGGACCGGAAGCCAGTGACTCAGGCCCAAGGGTTTTCTGGGGTCGGTTGTAGTTTGTCTTAGGTGCGAAGTCCAGGCAGAAATAAAGGCTTTGAAAAATGTTTCCTGCCTGAAGCAGGCAGAGAAATTCCTAAGGCTGCTTGGAACACTGACTGGAGTGGCTGTGGTTCAGTGACCGACAGGCCAGGACTCAGGAGCTGGGGGACAACGTGAAGACCGCACAGGGTGAGTCCCGGGAAAGGCCTGCCGTGGGCTTTGCTTGGTGGAGCCCAGGCAGGGCAGCCTGGGGCCCTGGCCTCTGTGGGGAGAGGGCTCAGCACGGACCATGGCGCCCTCTGGGGGCCTTGGGGAGGAGGCGCACCCCTCGGCACCATCCTCCTGGTCCGAGGCCCCTGAGGGAGCTTGTGGGGTGCTCCCTCCCCAGCACTCGCCACCTGCAGGGGCTCCCCCGCGGAGGTCCGTGTCCACCCTCCCCACAAGTCCCCCAGCCCTGCAGGACGTGCCTCAGTGAAGCACGCTGCCTAAGAGGCAAGATCTAGTCAGCACCTGGCTCCAGATGGAAGCTCAGCCATATTTTCTCTTTTTGGGGGGCAGACGGTTGAAGGGAAGGTGAGATAAGGGAGGGGCGGGACCCTTTTGAGCCTGCGTGTAGCAGAAACATGCTCTAAAGCAAGCACTTAAATAATTAGAAAAAAATCGGACATTCTCCAAGGGGCCAGGAGGACTAGAACAGAAATGGGGGTGTGTCTGGTCACCTCACTTGCCCTGGCAGCCGGGCATCCTCGTCGGGCCGCTGCTCCGGAGCATGGGGGCACCTCTCGTCTGCTGCCTGCTCCAGGCTGTCGGCAGCCAAAGGCAGGCCAGAAAGAAGACAGTGAACTTCTCCTTAGCAGGAGTCCCTGAAAAGCAAGGGGGACTTGGTTCTACTCTAGCTGCCCCGCAGGCAGTGAGAAGCTGGGCTAACTCAGCCGGAATCTCCACAGGAAAGCCATCCAGAGCAGAGGGAGCCCGAGTCCAGCCTGGGCCACCAAGGCCGACACCAAGCCTGCCCTCCTCAGCAGCATCTGGCCCCCTTTCCTTTCTGCTCCTGCCGGTTGGTTGCCCGATAGCATCCAGATGCCGGATTATCACAGCTTTCTCCTCAGCAGAACCACTGCAAGCAACACAAGAAAAGCTTCAGCATCTCCCTTTCCTGCCGCCCCACCCTTCTGCAGAATCCACACCACCTTTCAACTTTCACCAGTTGTTTACAGAGTGGAGGGCAGCCTTTCGGAGTCTGAACTGCCTATTCAGGCCCTGGGGATGCCAACCCCACCCCCTCCAGGCCTTCGGACAGTGTAATGGTCTCTGATAATGAGTCTGTATTTGTCCAAGGTGACGGTCACTGATTTCCTCCCCTCCCCCAGCCTCAACAGCCCCCTTTGTGTCATCTCCTGGTCACCCCGGAGTCCTCCGGGACTATGGGGGACAGATGAGCACTGGAAGCACTGAAGCCGGCCAGTACTGGCCCCCTCCCAGCTCGGGGGAGTGGGGTGGGGGGGTGGAGACCATTGAGGACTCTTCTTTGTTCAGGCTTCTTCAGCCCCTTCCCCAGGCTGGTGACAGCATTCATAGGCAGCCTATCTGAATTCATTTTGCAAGTGAGATTTCCTGAGACAGCGAGCTTTACAGATGTCACTCTGTCTGGAGGCCAGATGGTGAGGTCTGGGGGAGGCGTGCCTTTTCAGGTTTGGAGGAGACCCCAAGATTACAACCACCAAGTGCAGAGACCTGTTTAGGAACACACATTTTGCAAATAAAAAGGCCAAGACTGTACATAGTAGGTGAAATGCTCACTTCCTCTTCATGCGCAAAGGGAAAGGCTGTCAGTCAAGAGGCTTGTCAGAGAACACAGAGCTGGACTGGTCTGACTACAAAGCACATGCTCCTAGCTGCCCTGGTGGGCCTCTTCTAGCACAGGCTGTGGTTTAGAACAAAGCCAGCCAGGCCACATTCAGTCCATCTTAGCGCTCGTGGGTAATGGAGCAGCTCCCCGGGTTACACTGGCACGTGCCACAGAACCCAGAGAGGCTTGGTGAGTGCCTGCTGCATGCCAGGCACCGTTCTCAGCTCCTCAGGCCAGCCCCGTGAGGGAGGTGCTGTCATTACCACCTGCGGCTTACAAAGATGTGGACCTGGGTTACGAGGTGTGCCCCAGGTCACAGCAAGGGCCAGGCAGAGCCAGTGTCAAGGCCAGGAAGGCTCCTTGGAGCAGATCAGAGGACGGGCTTTGGGGCTAGAGGGGCCGAGCAAGGGCTCGGCCGATCTGGGTCCTGCACCTGTGGGACAATGTGGCTGGAGAGCTTTAAGATGCCATTCAGCTCAGACCATCTGGGGCTGTGACTTTGCTTTTTAGCCACTCTCCTTAAGAAAATCCTCTTTGAAAGGCAGGCTCAGGCACTCACCTGAGAAAAATGGATCAAAAATTTTTTTTCATCTCTAAACTTTCCTTCAGACTTAATAGGGGGTCTGCAGCCCCAGGAGACAAAAGGCCCTACGCCTACGGGGACAAGGCGCGGCGGTCCCAGGTACACAGTCAGAATCTGCTTGTCTCCCCGTGGCCATCTGTCCTGGGAGTTGCACGTTTAATCCTCTTTAGTCCAGAAGCTCCCTTTCCTTCCCCGTCCACATGCTAGACTTCTAGGAACCAGATTACCTATCAGGGCTGAGGAAAGGATCTATTTGGACTCACAGAGAACCAGTCCTTTTAAAGTCTATGAAAAACCAAGGAAGATCAGTAACCAAGGCCACTACATGAATTTTTTAAAAATAAGGAAAAATACAGAAGCTGAAATCCGACACGGTCAGCGAGCTCCGAAGGATCGCCATTAACCCACATGCGGAGGTGGGGAGAAAGGCGGATCAGAACCAGAGCGCAACGGAACTGACTTCCACTCTGAGCTCTCCTTGCGCCTGGTGACGTGGATGAGGAACAATCCTACAGGACCAGCAGAGGGGAAATTCCCTGGCCGTCCAGTGGCTAGGACTCTACGCTTCCACTGCAGGGGGCCCTGGTTCGATCCCTGGTTGGGGATGCAGGGTCAAGGTTTCAATAACAATGGTATCAGATTCGGGACGGAAAGCAGACACCATCAAACATTCCAAAATACACATGAAGCCACCACATAATTTCTGTGGAGAGGACCAAATGACCTGACAGGAGCTAGGCAGGAGAGGCCCAGCTAGCTGGCTTCCAGGTGCCATCCCAAGTCCCTCGGAACCACCACAGTGAGCACCGGTCAGCACGGCCACTTCTCCCATGGGCTCCTGGGTCCGTAAACCCTGGCCACGCTGCCCACCCCCGGCCTTGATGCCAGCACCCTCCCAAGTGTACCGGCAGCCAAGATCCACCAAAAGAAATGAGCAAAGTGCAACTTCCACCTACGTTCAGTTGACGAGCACACAGGCAGCTGATCTTTCTAGGATGTAATTTATTAAAAATAGATTCTCTAACCCCCTCAATCCCTGCTAGCAAAAGGGTCTTTCCCAACATTTTTTCCCAAATGGATGAAATAACAGGTATTGGGGACTCAGATGTCATATCCTTCCTATCCTAAGAACTCAGGCTTTTCTGGGCCACTGCCAGGGCCAGAAGAGGAACGGCACACAGCAGTGTGGGTCCCAGGACGCCAGTCCTGGCTGGACTAGAGCCTCTGCGGCTCCAGGCCCCAGGGAGTTTGGACAAGTTCATAACAAGAGGCCCCGGTGCTCCCCCAGCAGCCTCCTGAACATCCCCAGAAGACTGTGTACTTGACGCCCGAGAAGGAACAAGAGCCAGCGTGGCTTCTACACGTGCGAGAAGGAACCGAAAAATCTGGGCCCAAAGCAAAATATGAACGAATGGGAAAGACAGGCCTGGACTGGGGGGAGGAGAGACGGTGCCGGAGGTTTGCCAACCATCGAGTTCTAAGCAGACCCATTCAGAAGTGACTTGCTTTTAATAATCTAGTCAGCTGCCACTCAGTCCAGCCAGAGAGAGCTCAGAAAGTCAGGGTATCTCCTTACGAGTCAGCCGCCGACACCCAAGTTACTCTCCACTATTTCTTCCACTTCAGTTTTGTATCTTTTTTGTTCTTCACATCTCTGTTTTTCTTCAACTTTTTGTTCTGTTTGGGTTCTTGTTTGGCTGCCAACTTCCTTTTCTTGTCACTGGAGAAGAAAAAACAGGAGTAGAAAGAGAAAGAATGAAGCATGCCTGTATCTGTAACCTTTCAGACTGCTTTGCTTTAAGCTTGCTTTGCTTTGTCTGAAAAAGGGTTTCCGCCATCTGAAACGTGATGTAAGAACGTGCAGTCACACAGCAATGTCCTCCGCAGGCCTACAGGGCATTGTGCTGGGGTCTGGGGGTACACCACACCAACCCAGCTCCTGCCCTAACCAAGCTCTCAGTCTGTGGAGGAACAAATCTACGCCTTAACTCCTGAAATCTGTATGTTCCCCCCTCCCACGACTTTCAGAAAAATCTAAGGCGTTAACAAGGAAAATTCCTTCCCACCACTTAACCACTAAGGATTACCCTGGAAACCAGACATATTATCCCAATGACAGGATAGTCCATAATACACAGCATGAAACTCCCAGGAAAACCATACAATACTTTTTGATGTGTTATTTTATTTTTCCTAAATGAGAAGAAAACCCAAAGGAATAGTAACTCGGGTACATATTTCAGCTGGCCGGTAGGTTCCTCACAGATAGATTAACGTGAGAATAGCTCGGCAAATGGCCACCTTCCTTTCCCCTTATAGGTTAAAGATTTTCTCCAGTGTCATTTTTCCCTGGAAACAAACACCTCCCTATAAGGGGAGGGTGAGCAATTCTGTCCTGAGACCTAACATCACCTGAATGAAGTGACTGCTCAGAAAACAGAAGGCCTCAAAGAATTCGGAATGACAGTTATCACTATTTTTACCTCCAAAGGTGCAAGCTTTCACATTTCCCCAGACCCCTCAAGTGCATGAATGGCCACACAGACTGGGTAATGCAGATGGCTCCTCAGGGGCAGGGACAGCCAAACCAACAGTGGGAGAGACTGAGCTCTGCGGAGCACAGAACCAGGCCGTCTCCACACCAGGCCCAGAGCCGGCCTTGTTCAAAGCCACCACACTCAATACGCAGCCATCACGTGCCCTGGGCCGCATCTGCCATATTGTCCAAACCAGAAATTAGGACACGCTGATAGCGGGCTTTTGTGCCACATCAGAGACCATCAGGAAAATGAGGCTACCATCGATGCTGGAATCTTCCAGGTAGCACAGTGATTTATGGAGACAGGAGAAGAGAGTATCTGATTTCTGGGAACTATGGTTCCTAGAGTCACAAGATTTCCTCTTTCCAAATAAACTCTTCAGGGGACCCTGTTTATGGCAATGCCAAGAACTCATCCTCCCACAAACCCCCAAACCAGCTGTGGAAGCCTCATCTCCAGAGGCCCAGGGCAGGGGAGGTGTCACTGTCTTCCCAAGGGAAACTCCAGTGAAAGTGCCACCCCACGGAACCACCGTCATCTACAAACACACCGCTCTGCAAAGCAGCAGCTGAGGGCGAAGGTTTTCGAAGAGTAGTCTAAGGAGTCCTGGAGTCCCCCAAGACCCTTCCTGGTGGGCCCCAAAGTCAAAACCATTTTCATAATAATCCTAATACATTATTTGCCTCTTCCACTTTCATTTTCTCCCAATTGTTTTGTTTTCCAGAGGCTACAAGATGTGTGATAGCACAACAGATTGAATGCAGAAGCAGACAGGAGAATCCAGCTGCTTTCTAGTATGCCAGATACTAAAAAGATTCGCAAAAATGTAAATGTAAAACAATGCCACTCTTCTCACTAAAATTTTTATGAAAAAGGTATTTTTAAAAACAAAAAACCCATAATGAGTCCATGACTGTTAATTCTGAATGAATAAACATTTTTTTTAATTTCTCAGTTTTTCATTTCTAAAATGGGAAATTTTTTTAATTTAATTTTTTTTATACAGCAGGTTCTTAATAGTTATCTATTTCATACATATTAGTGTATACATGTCAGCACCGATCTCCCAGTTCATCCCACCACTACCACCACCTCCCCCCCACCCCCGCTTTCCCCCCTTGGTGTCCATACGTTTGTTCTCTACATCTGTGCCTCTAAAAAGTGGGAAATAGTGATAGATAAAACCCACACGCACAAAAGCCCTTTGGGGTCCTCAATAATTTTTATGATATAAAGGAACTCTGAGATCCAAAACTTTGAGAACCACTGGCTTAGAGGAAGGAGAGTATAACAGGTAAAACTCTGGGCTTTGCAGTGGACAAACCTGGTCCTGATTCTGGCTCTGTCTCTTACTAGCTATATGCTTCTTGGGAAGTCACTTAACACCTGAGAGCCTCGGTTACTTCATCTTTAAACCAGTGATATACCCATAAAACTCCTAGAAGAGAACACAGGCAAAACATTCTCTGACATAAATCATACCAATGTTTTCTTAGGTCAGGCTCCCAAGGCAATAGAAAGAAATAAAAACAAAAATAACAAATGAGACCTAATCAAACTTACGAGTTTTTGCACAGCAAAGGAAACCATAAACAAAATGAAAAGACAACCTGCAGAATGGGAGAAAACATCGGCAAATGATGCGATGGACAAGGGCTTAATTGCCAAAATATACGAACAGCTCATACAACTTAAAAACAAAAATAACAACCCAATCAAAAAATGGGTAGAAGACCTGGAGACATTTCTCCAAAGACATACAGATGGCCAAGAGGCACATGAAAAGATGCTCATCATTTCTAATTATCAGAGAAATGCAAGTCAAAACTACAATGAGGGGGCTTCCCTGGTGGCGCAGTGGTTGAGAGTCCGCCTGCCGATGCAGGGGACACGGGTTCGTGCCCCGGTCCGGGAAGATCCCACATGCCGCGGAGCGGCTGGGCCCATGAGCCATGGCCGCTGAGCCTGCGCGTCCGGAGCCTGTGCTCCGCAACGGGAGAGGCCACAACAGTGAGAGGCCCGCGTACCGCAAAAAAAAAAAAAAAAAAAAAAAAAAAACTACAATGAGGTACCATCTCACACTGGTCAGAATGGCCATCATTAAAAAGTCTACAAATAACAAATGCTGGAGAGGGTGTGGAGAAAAGGGAACCTTCCTACACTGCTGGTGGGAATGTAAAGTTGGTGCAGCCACTGTGAAAAACAGCATGGAGGTTCCTCAGAAAACTAAAAATAGAATTACCATATGATCCAGCAATCCCACTCCTGGGCATATATCCGGACAAAACTATAATTCAAAAAGATACATGCACCCCTATGTTCACAGCAGCACTATTCACACTAGCCAAGACATGGAAACAACCTACATGTCCATCAACAGAGGAATAATGGATAAAGAAGATGTGGTACAGATATACAATCGGATACTACTCAGCTGTAAAAAAGAACGAAATAATGCCATTTGCACCAACATGGATGCAACTAGAGTTCATCATACTAAGTGAAATAAGTCAGAAAGACAAATACTGTATGATACCACTTATGTGTGGAATCTAAAAATGACACAAATTGAACCTATCTATGAAACAGAAACAGGGACTTCCCCGGTGGTCCAGTGGGTAAGGCTCCACACCCCCAATGTAGGGGGCCCGGGTTCGATCCCTGGTCAGGGAACTAGATCCAGCGTGCGTGCCACACTAAGAGTCCTGCATGCCACAACTAAGAGGTCCGCATACCGCAACTAAAAGATCCTGCATGCTGCAAGGAAGATCCCGCATGCCGCAACTAAGACCCAGCACAGCAAAAATAAATAAAGATATAAATATTAAGGGGGGAAAAAAAGAGATCAATAGAGCAAATCTGGGGAAAAGACAGGGCCACAGCAATTTTAAAAAGCACAAATAATGAAGAAGCTGTGTGTTTTATCAGGAAAAGTTTCAAAAAAGACATACACAAATTGAACTATATATGTGTATAACACACATAAAACCCTATTAAAAAAGCAAAATAGTAACCAGGTTTGAGGGGGTAGAGTGCAAGGGTGAGTTTAGAGAGGTCGAGCTTATTAAGCCTGGAAAAAAAAAAAAAAACAACAGAAACAGAATCTCAGAGATAGAGAACAGACTGTGGGTGGCCAAGGGGGAGGGGGGTGGGAGAGGAATGGATTGGGAGTTTGCGATTAGCAGATGCAAACCGGTATATACAGAATGGATAAACAACAAGGTCCTGTGATAAACCATAATAGGAAAGGATATGAAAAAGAATGTATACATATGTATAACTGAGTCACTTTGCTGTACAGCAGTAATTAACACATTATAAACCAATCATACTTCAATAAAAATAAATAAAGCAGTGATGTAAGAAAAAAGCTACCTCTGTTTAGAGCACGAAGGGGATGCTGCATTAAAGCCCCCAGGAAGTGCTCAGGTAGCGGCAACTCCAAGGCTGTTGTTCTCAAGCCTGTCTCCCTGGCATGTCTGAGAATACGGGGGATGCAGAGATCCAGGCCTAAGCAATGGCCCTGCCTGATCAGTGGGAGCTATGATACAAAAATAGCATCCCTCAAAGGGAAGAATAGTGACTTTCCTCAAAGCTTTTGCTCCAACCTCCTATTTCCTAGAGAAAGTTACCAGCGAAGCAGAGAGACCAGAATGCCTCCCCTGCCTGATGTATGCTAGCCCCTCACCTTTTCAGGCTGACAACTGAGGCATTCTGCCCGGCTTTGTTCAAAACTTCATTCCATTCTTCATCGTCCCCACGGATTATGTATCTAAAAAATAAAAGGAAATATCAAAGCCTGCTCAGAAGAAGAGAAGGCCGCTTAAAAGAAAGTAAGAGAGTGACAACGTTTTCATCACACACGTCCTACCACGAAAGCCAGGCCGAGCTGCACCAGCATTTGAACAGCAGAGAGCAGGGGACAGGTGTGCAGCTGAGCTCCAGGGGACAGGAACTTCACCGGAACAAGCACGGTCAGGCCTGCTAGCAGGGGTCGATCCGCGCAGAAGGCAGCTGCCCGACTTCTGCCACCTGACTCTCAGCAACCGCCCACCCGCCCACCAGAGGAGCCTCCTGTCACCCCCAGCATCTCCTTGCTCACCGCCACCTCCACAGCCCACACGCCCTTGGACTGGGCCATGTCTGCCCCACCTCGCCCCACCTCTCTGGGATCTGGCAGTCCTGACAAGTCAAGGCTTTGATGCTGCAAAGCTGCGTGCAGAGCTCAATACTTTGCCCACGGACCTCCTGGCCGCCTCCATCTCACATCCAACAACCACCATCACTAATGACCCAGCAACGGGACTACAGGTCAAAGAGGCTCAGAGGCCACCAAGTCTGGAGCAGTTATTCACATCAATCTACCGGGTGGGTACCACCATTATAGCTGCAGCTCAAAGAGGACTGCAATCTCCAGGGCATGGAGGGTTGTAGAACAAGGGGTTTTGTTGGTTCGTTGGCAGTAGGATCTTTTCTTCAAACAAATTCACGTCAAAAGCCAAATATTAAAAAGTGGCCACTGAAAGTGGATGCTCATGGATCAGCATCCCCCTTCCCTAAGGGGCCCGGGGCATGACATGGGGCCCAAGGGATCTCAGGAACACGACCTGCAAGTCATGACTTACAAAGTGGCAGAGCTGATCTGGGGAAAACAAATCCTTCAAAATTATGCAATTAGTCAATTAGGAGGTTTTTAGCTGCTAGTGCTTCTAAAAATGATCCCATGAAACACAGCTTCCAGGGCACCCAGGAAGCGAATTAGAAGCAACCAGCAGAGGTTCTGTGCTTCCCACGAGGGGCCTTACTGAGCGAGGTCCAGGTTCTTCAGCTTCCCCACTTCTTTCTTGTGTTTCTCCTGGAACTCCTTTGCTGCTTCATCCTGTGGTCGAAGTCCCATACAGAGAGTAGGTCAGAGTCAGGCAGGGGACAAATGGCAGGGAAAGGCCAGGGGGCAGAACGTGACCGTGACGACCAGCAGGCCTCCCTTCTGCACGTTTCCCTCCCACAGCATTAGAGGCAGCTCTTACTCAGTGTGTATGAACATAAAACGTGCCTTCTAAAAACCTAAACGATCAAACAAGTAGTTCACAACAGCAGCTGCCGGACTGCCAGCTCGCACACGCACTCAGCGGGGGGCCTCGTCAAGGGCCAGGTGGGCACGCAAGGGGCAGGGAGACTCGGGGAGTGCGCCCCTCACACCCCCAGAACACTAGTGGCGGGGACTCTCCTACAAGGGAGGGGCGGACGTTCGGTGTTCGTACCAGGTCGTCACTCAGCGTCTTCATCGTGGGCTCCATAACCACGGCCTTCACTGCCACCATTTGCTCCTCGATGGCCTTCTCCTGCACTTCATTAAACAGCTACAAAAGACCAAGGCCAAGAAGCAGAAGATGAAGGAGCAGCAGAGGCCAAGTCACTCGTTACCAAGTCATTCAACACGCACCCTGCACGGTTTAGGAGTACACACGCTCACGGGAGGAGCAGGAGATCCCCGACTGGAGATGTTACACTCCCATCAGGGGTGCCTCTGGGAGACAACGCGGAACGTTACAGACCCAGCTGAAGTTCCGTGTGTGTGTGTGTGTGTGTGTGTGTGTGTGTGTGTGTGTGTGTGTGTGTGGGGTGTGTGTGTGTGTGTGTGTGTGTGTGTGTGTGTGTGTGTGAAGATCTGCAGCAAACACAGCCAAACGTTAACATTTCTGCACCCTGGGGCAGGGAGTGGGCTTGACACATTTTCCAACACAGGCCAAAGCCCTGCCCTCAGCTGAGGTTACCTTCACAACCTTGCGGATGATCCGGTTGAAAAGTCCCATCAACTGGCCTGAGGGCAGCTCAATCTCCTTTTCCAGCTGGTCTACAGACTTGTGCTGCAGGCCAATCCCCAAGAGAAGAGCCTGGGGGATGGAGAATCTGTTGGAGTGGCTGCCAGGACAGGCTTTTGCCCATTAAAACGACACCAAGAACCAGAGTTACACTCTCTTGACCAAAACACTGACTGACACTACTGTGGAATCTTCCCATTCATCCTGTTACTGAAACCACCAGGAAAACTCCCTCCTCCTGAAATCTCCAAACTAACTTCTTATCCCGGCAAATAGCTGCTTTACAGCTACGTTACAAGTACAAGGTGCTCCTGGACCTCTGATGAAGCAGAGTAAGAATCAAGGCAACGTGGTGGGGCTGGAGGAACGTGGGTCCACACTGCAGCACTTCTACTTACTTACTGTACTGCTGGGCACACAGCTCGACTGGAAAGCCCAAGAGTCCCCACGTGTGAAAGGTGAGACCACTACCCCCCATCAGCACCACGAAGAATTAAATGCACAAAGTTACGTCAAAGCATCTGACCAACACCCGGCCTATAAACTGCTCCACAAAACCAGCACACGAGCAGCAGGTAACCTACCGACTGGGCAGCAGACAGGGCCAGGTCCCCCAGCCGGTTCAGGAAATACATCCGGGAGATGGCCGGGATCATGTCCATGATGAGGTGATAGTCAACCATGTTCCGTGAATACATCTCCAGCCTCTTCAGGTCATAGGGGAGGAAGAGTGCTTCCAGCTCCTCCCGGCACAGGGCTGGACATGCAACAGAGCCAGATGAGTCAGGTGAGCCCAACACCCTTGCAGGGTCCGACGAGATTCCCAGATGGCGCTCACAACCACAGTCCCCAGGTGGCACCCAACAGCTGCTCCCCCACGGGGCCTTCAGCAGG